AACAGATTTTACTCTCCAAGAGTCTTGTATTTTCTTGATTTCCCAGTGGAGTAACGCAACAAGGATGATATCACTTCCGCTCTCTTTTTGGCGAGATCGCATCTATGCCACGGATTCTGTGGTTGCTCGGAAATGCAGACGTCACATCGGAGCCAAATGGGAGAGGTCGGAGCAATTCTTACGGACAATTCAACCAACTTCCTGCTTCAGGGTCCAAGAAGGCATCACACAAGTAAATAATCGGCCAAAATATCGCTTTGGACCCGTGTTAATATAGAGTAAAACAGCGTCAAGACGTCTAAAATCATGTACACTCACTAAATCGTTACTACACGGTTTGATGCCATTTTTATAAGATAAATATTATTTGTCGTATATGTGTATTTATGAAATACACGATTTAACATATTTTTACTCGATTTTCAATCGTGTTACACGGTACACGATTTCCAACCCCCTTGTGTTTTGGCCTGTTTTTGCTAGTGTCATGTATTGTGATAACGATCGTGAGCTATCCACTTTCATGGCACTGATCGAAACACGATCTCCGCTGTCCACCACAATTCGCTTCAGCTTTGATGTCCATCTCTTTGTGCTTCGCAGAATCTGAGAGCTCTCGAATGTTGAGGAGTACAGAAAAATCCAGCTGTTGTTCGAGTGCCATGATGTTACAAACAGCTGTCAAGCACCAACAGGAGGGTGCCTACACTTGCGAACAGAGATGTGACTCAACGATCAGCCATATACGCTCAATGATAGTCACTGAGGACACAGCCACTATCACAGCCCTGTCAATCGCCCAGAATTTCTGAACATTCCGCTCCTGCACTTTTACCACCTTAGCTCATAAACACTCACAGGACAACGAGAATCACCACAGCAAGTAAATTCAAGCCCAACAGGACACTTGGGATGTGGTCGAGCGCTGCCGAAGCGAGGCGCAACCCCAGTGCTGTACTTCGTATTCAACTTCACCTTATCCGTTCACATACAACGAGAAACATGCAATGGCTGACCAGCTCGACGAGAGGCACGGAAAAACACGCTCAAACTGCGAACCAACACTCCACACCTCGCTCAGTAGCTCAGTGTAGTGAGCGTACTGACCAATCTCCAGATGCCGCAAACCAATGTTGTCGATGCTCGTTCCCTGCGGTCCAGCGCTGCGCTCCACTCACTCGCCGAGCAGCGGACGATGAAGACACGTCGTTCAGTCGACGAAGCCAGCGCCCAACGTGAGCGCACGTGGGTCAGTCAGTCAATGAAACGGGGGACAAGCTCGACGACGAGCTGTGGGTATGTGCAGCGGTGCACAACCCAAAAGGCAATTGACCCGGAGGGTCAGGAGGCAAAGGCGCACAGAAATGAACGTGTTCATTACAACGATGCTTCCCTTGACAGCGCTCAAACCCCACACGTCCACAACATGTTCGTTCTCAGCCGAACACCCGCCGTTCAGACCGCTAGAACCAAGAATGGACGGGTGGGGGGCGGAGAGAGAGGGGAGAAGGGGCACCCACACCCCAAACACTCCCTCCTAAATACTCCCGCCAGCTCCAAAAGCACTACACCATAGTGACCCTTGGACAATCCAACAGACACTTCAAAAAAGGCTCCTGTACTCCTTGTACTTCTCAGAACTTCCCATTGACCTTCTCCAAATCGACCCTTTCCAAAGGGTCACACAATACAATCAAAAAAGCCACTTTTGAACACTACAACATTAATCAACGGCCGTCAGCGCCCCTTGGCAATACTCCCATGAAGATGTACTGCTTTACATCCTCTTCCCACTCACGCTGTGAGGAACTAAGTGCTATAGGTTCCTGAAAAATCAAATTAGGGGGAATCCCCCTATCCAAACAAAAAATACACCTAATGCATTTTTCGTCCCATGTACACCCATCACACCCCACCGTTCCGTAGTGGGTAGTGTCTCCCGGCTGTCTAATCCATTCTACCTCATTTTCCCCCATGTACAATATACGTGCCCTTAATTGTACCCCCTGCATCATCCAACTTCCTTCTGGCCCTAGCAGCTCCACCTCCCACTCAGTCGTTACGCAAGCTTTCCACCTTGAGCGCGGCGACCACCCTCCAGTACGCCCGGGTGGCGTGCTCCACCATCCCCAGCGGCAGCCCCCCGTCTCCCTCGGCGAGGCCGCCCACACACCCCTCTCCGGCCCACGCAAACAGCGCGGGCGGGCTGTCCGGGCCGTCGCGCTCGGCGGCCATCCAAGCAACTCTCTCGGAGATGCTCCAAACGCCCTCGCCGCGCCAATTCGCGGCAAAGACACTCCGCCGGAGCCGATCGCCCAACCGAACGTTGGGGATCGCCGCGACCCAATAGGCTTGGACGGCAAACACTTGGCCGTTCAGGTGCCTTACTCGCCACCGAGTCGTGGCATCAAAAGCGGAGTGGAGCCAAAAGTGGGGCGTTCCGGGGCCGGAGGCCATGGCCCATGCCTCCGCCCCACCGAGCCCATTGCGGCACGCGAGCACGACTTTGCCCGCTTCGTCCAGGCCGACAAAAGGCTCCCCCGGGCCCCTTCGTCCCTGCGTGCACGGATCCACAAATATCCCCGGAGGGAGAGAAAGCACCGCTCCGCCATGGAGCATGGCGGAACCGGAGGGTCCGCCCGCACCGAACGGGAGCGCGTTCGACCCGCCTGCCGAACGTGGGGATGCTCCGGCCATGGCGAGGGAGGGCTTCCGATGGTCCCTGCACGGTCGGGGAGGCTGGGGTGTTGCGGCGCGCCGAGCAGACCAGGCACAGCGGGCGTAGGTGGGGCGTAGGCGCAACCCGCGCAGACCAGATGCAGGAGGGCGCGGTCACGTCCGACATACAGTACATTACACGAAATGTCAAAAGGGTGGTCTCCCGTACGGGTGCAAAACCACAAAGTACTGTTAGCAGCCGCACACAACGTCCCATCACGCCTCACTGGACCCCTATACCCTGCCAGTACTTGTCCTGTCAAGGTCCTAGGACCTTTTGCAAAAGTTCAGGTCCATTCAAGGACACCCCCTACGGTTCATGGTCTTCTCAAAACGGGTCAGGAATTGGCCGTTTTTGCCCTACGAAAGTCACTCAAAAGGCCCTTACAAACCGGCCAGCCTCTCACTCAGGGTCCCTCACCACACGCCCTGCACACACCGTGCCTCTTTGTCCCCGGCTAATAGTACTGGAAAATCTACCATAATCGCATACTAAACCCAATTCTGTACACCCAAATTCCATCACTGTCAAACTGTATTGTATCCCGTCAGCATGCGGATCCAGCTGATTGGTTTTCGTCCTTTTCCTTGACCAGTTCACAGCTCAGTCACAGCCGTCCGTGCTGCCCGTAGAGTGCTCTTCAATTGACGTCATTGGTGCTCATTCTGGACGGTTCTGATGAGTGACATTGCAAAACAGCGAGATGGAGGATATCTCAACTGTAAATGCATCGATTCATATGCACTGGAGAGAAGCTGAGCGTGCGCACGTTTGCCTTGAGCATTCAGCAGCTGCAGGACCGCTAAATGTAACCGTATGTCATGCGGTTCAAGGTGATTTCTGCTGAGCACATTGACCTTTCCTTTCTCTACGGTTTTCTCTCGATTACAGTGGTGGCCATTTACTTGAGCGGATTGGACTGTAATCGAACACTGTACAAGGTGTCCATTCGCCACAAGGCCCTTTCAGTGACAATAAGTGATTTTGCGGAAAGCAATGAGTGAACTGCAGGGGATCTGTGCGTATGCCTGTTTTGCGATCCGTGCTGACAACGCCCGAAGTACATCTGATCTACCAGTATGTGGTGGGGATGATGTCATCCTGACCTAGAGGCGAAAGAGCCAACCCGGAACGGCAGGAGCCAAGGACGATATTGGTTTTGAAGATGGACGTTCTGGGATTGCGCCAGGGCATTTTTAAGTCAGATTTTCGGAAACGATCACTGATCTCTTCAGTGATCGGAGTATTCGGATGCATTGAAGTTCCTCTCAAGGCAATTGAGATGCTCGAATGTCCATACAGCACATCAACGCTGATTCAACACGTTCAAATGAGTCAGTGTTGTCAGAAGCAAACACTCGAATTAATTCTGCGATCCGCAGATTTGATCTGTTCAACATCGGATATCAGAGGCAATAGAGGCAAATGGCCCGCCAAATTGGGGACTTCTCGTTGCTTGGGAGAAAAGCACGTCAGCCCTGTTGCAATAAACAAGGATGCATAAAATGACCTTTTGTATGATTGTAGAGACGATCCTGAAGACGAGCATAGTAGCGAAATACGAACCATGGGCGATGCAAGCAAGGGAAAAGAAACGAAAATGGACATGAGGGGAAGAAACCTTCGCGATCGTTGGGCAAACGAGTGTTTGACATCTTGGACGAAAATGTGCAGAGCGGTGGAGTGGGCTCCAGCATCTGACATGGTCTTCCAGTATGCCTGCAGTTTTCGTTGCCTACGGTACATAGCATTCTGCAGCTATGGCAGCCATTCTGCACGATAGTGGATACTTCCTGCCTTTGATGTTTATCTGTGCAACTGCTTTTGATGATGGCATACTCGGGCGATCCCTTGCAGCAGGATCATCGGCAATGGTGTGCATTCAATGACTTGAATACTCCAGTATCACCAATGCACTGGTGGCCTTTATAAACTCTGGACATTGTGAGAAACTCGAACAGGTTGTTGCAGTATCATTCTTGCGAACAAAACCTCAACTGGAAAACACAGGCACTGCTTTTTGTCAGTACACTTGAATCTCTGAGGTGAACTTGGGCACTGTGGACATCCAAGGATTCGGCTCAAAAGGGTTTTGTTACCGTTCACCCACAAACATCTTCTGAAGGTGCAACGTGAAGAGCCCTTGTTGTGTGCTGTAGGCACAGGCAATCCAGGAACATCTCAAAGGGATTGCAAACTGCGAGAACCACTCAACACATCTTCAGCTAGTGTACAAGGAATTCTATTCCTCTGCCATTCTCAACCTGTCTCCAAGCTGCATCTAACCTTCAAGCAACCAACACGAAATTGCTCCTGAATGCGCCCAAATTAGTTTACAGCTGATAACGCTGCCCTTTGCAGACTGTTCTGAGCTAAGCCATACCCCACAGTCCTGGGCTGCAGACGGAACGCCTGCCAGGCCTGGGGCCAAGGCTACTGGAGGGGGCTCTGCTGTACCAATCAAAGCAGGAACAGACACAGATGGGCCCTGTCTCCCACTGGGAACAGCCACCCTTCGTCTTTCTGCCACCAAGAGACCTCCGTCCTTGGACCACTGGGGGGTTTGCCAGCCCTTCTTTGGGCGCAGCTCTTGGCCGCACATATTCGCGCAAACCCAACTGTCAGCCGGCCGCAAGATCTCCTGGCAGGCTCAAGACCCGACTCTGGACGCATGGGCAACGTCCGTAGCAACAGCGGCAATCCAAAGGCCATGCACAAGCTGCCCATTTCGGCGTCACACCCCAAGGCCCCTGAAAGCAGATCCCAGACCCCTGCTGAAAGGCCATCTGCACTTGCTAGACTTTCAGGTGGCTGCCGATTTAAGTTGATTCTTGGGAGCCGATCTCAAATCTCCCAAACCTCTTAGCCGCAAATCTCAAAGTCATCGTGATGCCGGAACACCCTTCCCCCAGCTACATGCCCGCCTTCCTGACTGGTTCGGTCGCCATCTCCATGTCTCCCTTGGGCGGCGGCGGTCCCAGCGCCTCCCCCAGCATCCTCGCCACCTCCCCGAAGGGGTCCCGCTTGAATGCCTCGTCCGCCATCACCGCCCGCATCCTCTCGCTCTCGGCCGCCACCAGCCGCCGCGTGGACCGCATTGTCAGCGCGCTGAGCCTGGCGCGCTCCGCCGCCCTGGCCGCCTTCGCCTGTGCCGCCGCCTTCAGCTCGTCGTCAACGCAGTCAAGCGCGGACGAAAGATCGGCTAGCCTGGCCAGTGGGTTTCGCCCCCGCCGGCGTGCCCTGCGCCCCGATGCCCCTCCGGAGGCGCCTCTGCCAGTCCCGCTCTTGCGTTTCGTGATGGCGGGCCTGGCGTGCAGGGACGCAGCCCCAGAGGACGCCACCTTGGCAAGAAAAGATGCTCGCCGGGAAGCGTCGTGACCGCTGGGCGCACCTGGCATCGCGGACTGCTTCTTCTCCTGGGGTTGAGGGGCCTGCTGCTTGGCGGCCTTCAGCCGCTTGTAGGACTCGCGGTAGCGGGCGCCACCGCCGGTGCTCCTTTTCTTGACCATGGCCGACCGCCGCGCCGACAGGTCGAGCAGGACCCAGCGTGCAGGGGCAATTGGCAGCAATTGGCCATGGGGCTGGGGCGCTACTGTGTCAAGGGGATACCCTGAGCAACCGGTGTAAAGGGTACCCTGGCCGCCAGTGTAGGGAGTACCCTAAACTGCCGGTGTGGGGGGTATCATGGCCGCCGGTGTAGGGGGTATCATAGACGCCTGTGTAGGGGGTACCCTGGCTGCCAGTATAGGGTGTACACTGGCCGCCGGTAGGGGATACCCTAACTGCCAGTGCACGGGGTACCTTGACCGCCAGTGTGGGGGGTACGCTACCCCCAGCCTACTGGGTCCATACCGGCTTCTGGGGCCAGCGACTGTCGCGGCGCCGAAGTCGCGGGCGCTGGGGCCTGTCGCAGTGAAACAAAGCACTAGGGGAACGGTGACGAGCCGTAAAGGGAGTCGCTAAACTTAGACAGGTCGCTAAATAGGGGTCGCTAAACCCGACCCCCGTACTAGTTTGAGGTCCCACTGCGTAGCAAAGCTGCATAAAGTACTACATAAATGGTGACATGCCAAAAAAGGTGGCACTATTGGGGGCCGGGGGTGCTATATAGGGACCCCTACTGTACTTCAGTTTCTGCCCATTTTGTGACTTTTTTCAAATATTGCATCGCCTGCACGTGTCCATACGCCAACCCCGTACTGCTAGAAGAGATGCCGGCCTTGTGCCACGTGTCGTCAAAAAGTGTGAGGCAATGCACAGCCAAAAAAGGTGTTCGCACAAGAAATACGAAGCTTCATTGTCACAACGTCGACTTTGGCACTCCCGTCGAGGGCCTGGCCGATCAAAAATCGTAGCAACTCACAAGGGTTTGTTTGTTCAACGATCCAAATCCAGAGAATTTGACCCATGATCATACAATGCACCCATTGCGTGTACACACTTTGTGACTGTGCAGCCATATCAAGACTGAAGGCATTTGCCTGCTGATCACTGCACTATCAGTGTTGAAGCAGGCATTTTGATACCCAAAGGCACTAATAACAAACCCTTTCTTCATCAAACCGATGGTTCTTAGCCTGTTAGTTGTCGCCAACCCTTTTGTACTTGCACATGGCACTTTTTCACTGAAATGGAGGAGAACATGGCATAAATCGACACATTATGCCAACTTCGTTGTTGCCCAGAGGTCTGCACACATGCCTTAGTTGGCGAGGCTCTCTATCGGCATCTTGTAGCACAAACCGTGTGATACGCCACACACACGCATACTGTAGGCGCTCGAGCAAGCCATGGACACCCAGGACATTCGGTGTTTCCAGCGGTAACGATACCTAGTGGTGGAAGAAACGTTGGGCAGCGACTGTGTGCACATGTCGTGCATTGACTGAATGTGTCGAAACTCGAAGCACTGTTTGTACCGAGTCCAAGGCGATGACGGGCACTCCTGCAGTGCTAGAATTATGAGCTGAGTGTGGTCTATTAAAAACCTCAACCATGAAAGCAGAACCAAAATCCATTGTGCGTTGGCGGTGTATCGTTGGTGACTCACTGCGTCAATGGAATTGACAAGAATGTCTCCGGCTCTTCTTCTGCATGTTGCTTGGAATCAAGGCACTGTGAGCAGCCCAAAGGAAGTGCGATGCAGCTTCTTCTGGTGAGTTGACCCGCTTGAAGAGTCATATTGTAATTGACGACCTAAACCTCTTGTCCAGCACCACTTACAGGCGACCATACGGTGATTCTGGTACAATTCTGGCAAATTGGTGGCAGCGGAAGGCATGCACATACATCCAATATATACAGCCCCAAACGCAGTTGACTGTGTGCCACCTGCAACACACAACGCACTTTTGATGGAGGCAAGGCAGTTTGGTATGGCCTAAACATCTACACATTGAGGACAACAAACGAAAGCACAAAGCTTGGTTAGAAACTGGAAATAACATATGCTATGCTGGTAAACATTGTGCAGAAACTAGCCTTAACAAAACGGCAGGTACTCTTCGTGCATCTCCCCACCCCACCACTTCCACCCTCCACCTCCCCACCTTGACAAGCACCAGGTGTCCATGTGATGTAGACTTGTATGGCCAGCCCCAAAGAATGAGCAACAATGGCAACTGCAAATACCTCTGCCCCCAGCTGCAATCAACACTAGTTACTATTCATGCCTCAGACATCCTCGTGGCCCTCCACCCATCAACAGCTGTTGTGGATGATCAGATCCCCTTGCAGGGGACAATCTGCTGCAGGAAGCCAGCCCATGTAGCCAGTGCTGTGACCATAAATCCAGACGTTCACATCCAGCCAAGAAGATCGCCCTTGGGCACAGCTTGCATCAGGCCATTCAGTCACTGTCGTCTCTCCCCTTCGACCTTGGGTCTGGTGCCCAGTCATACTCCCTCCTCCGTCGTTTCACGTCACCATATTCCTCCTCGCCCTCTCCAGGGCCCCTGGGGCGAGCCCTGGCACGGCCTGCCATGGACAGCAGGTTCTTTTGCACCATGCACCCCCAGCCACCCCTATCGGGGTCATAGTCCTCACGGAACTCATCTCGCACCTGCCCCCCACTCCTCCCCCGCCCATACTGCCGGTGCTCATAGCCCCCACCCCAGTCGATGTCAACCCTGATCAGGCGGCCATCCACCACCAGGCCATTCAGGTACTTCACACAGTCCTCCGCATCCTCCCTATTGTGGTAGATCACAAAGCAGAAGCCACAGGGTGTAAGCTTCTGCCTGTCCAGCCCCACCACCACCTGCTTGACTGTGCCCACCTTTGAGAACACTTCGTGTATCTGCTCTTCTGTCGTGAAGAATGAGAGGTTGCCCACGTATACAGCTGTCGACTCGGCTATTTTCCTGTCAACAGCCATGAACGTCTGCATGGAGCAAGTAGAATGGCAGTGGTATGGAAGTGGCACTGAGTACTGATCCTGTTCACAAGCAAATGGCCTCCAATTGTCGATGTTTTCCCCACTACATGCATTGCTCATTGTTGGGAGCAATTCGTGCTGCTTTTGGAGTCGATTGCACAACTGTTGCAGCATGCCAAAAGAGTCTGCAGATGCCATTGCAAGACATTCTGTTCTGTGTTTCAAAATCTTTGTGCAGGAGTGCATGAGATGGCATTATTTCTGGTATAAACCTGGGAGGCTCCATTACAGGTTCATCAAGCTAACACCAGAGATCGCTGCTCTGATTGGGACTGAATGTGGGTGCACGGGTGACAAACAGAAGAACAGGCACCACATGTCAACCATATCAAGCAATAATCCTGCTCCAACACAGTTTTGGCGCTGGCACATGGACCAGTACACTTTTTCGCGTTCCTGGCTACATATCATGGCACTGCTCCTTGTTGCTTGGGAATTGTCTGTTTTCTTGTGGATTTCATTGGAATCAGCTGAGTTGATTGGACAAGATGGATACTGGATTACAAAAGCATTGGTTTACTGTCACTTTCCTGCTTTGAACTGATAGTCTGACATCGCCAGCTCAGTGACACGACTCTGCTTTGTCTTCTTTGAGAAAAGCAGCAAAAAGGACTAAAAAGACATGGAGAATCTTGCTGCACACAACAGTTCCAATTTGCATTGAAGGGCCAAGCTGGGCAGCAACAGCATGGGTAAATGGTACTTCAGGAGTTTGTGGCTCCATCTGCCTCATATGAACAGTCAAATGTTGCGATTATGGAAGACAAAATGCAACAACGTGGATCAGGGAGGGCTGGAGACAGCAGTGGCAGTTTTACTGTCACATTTGCAACCAAATACCTGCCATCACCTGTACCAATGAGCATGGTGAGTGTTTGGTTCTACAACGTCAACAATGTCAAAACCTTTGCACTGGAGCCAGTAAATTTCTTCGCCCGTTCTATTCTTCAGCCTTTTTTCTCTTTCCGTGCATCAATTCCATCGTTATCTGTTTTCGTGCTTCGACACCTTCCGATGCAAAATGCATGACCCTGGGCTGCAGGGCATGCAAATGAGCACTAATTCCAAATGATTCCAAGCCCTCTAAAACCACAGGATTGGGGGGAAATTAACGTTCCCCTCGCGGTTGAAGACGGGACGTGCGAACGACAGAGCTCTGCAACAGTGCATTGGTGTCTAGTTTCTCTTGCGTGCCTGAGCCGGCAGTAAACCCCAGCGCCGGAGCAACGGACACCGTCCACCAACGATCAAAACCTTATTTGCAAATCTGGATCCGCCTCAGCGCCAAGTCGCCTGACCCATCAAAGCACAAAGGGCATTTGCAGACGGCGCTGGGCCAGCCGAAGAGTACCCCAGACCCAAGCGCGTCCACGATTTCGTTAACCCACCTGTTGAACTCTTCCTGCGTGCCCTCGAAGCGCCCGTCTTTGTAGTCCGACGCCAAGGGCTTCAGGTGCGCCAACAGCTTCGACATCGGCGGTCCTGCGCTTGCCAATCCAGCCAGCCAGCACCAAGCTTCCGCTCCGGGTTGGGACCTCATTTGCCAGCGAGCTGCTGGTCATTACCCGCTGACACGGTCTGACTTGGCTGTCTGATCTGAGCTTGAGATGATCCGTCATTGCCCGCACGACAGAATCGAAGGCCCCCTGTCTGGGTCGTGAGCGACGCCCTCGGGCTGTCCTGCTGTCATGGTGCAATGGCGGGTGGTCCTTTGAAGTCCCCGGCGGCGGGGCCGAACCTCTACATCCCCGCAAGAGAACGGATACTGTCGATCCTCGCGTCGCTGGAAAACAAGGCGAAATCAGGGAAATGCGGCCAAGGGACGATGGAATCCAAGGAGGTTGGGGAGCGCAATCAGCCCCCAGAAGCCCTTAGAAGGCAAAGCCAGCGGGTGAGGGTGGCATTGCCCGATGTTGGCCTGTATAATTGGGTTGAAGCGGTTGTGTCCACTTGGCATGGGCATCCTCCTGTTGAAGATGCACATTTGCCACGCACCCAGGAAGCTCACACCACTGGGGTGGGCCGGGATGGAAAGCCACCCTACAACTGTGCTGTTCTGTATGACTGAGGCCTGACTGAATGGATGCACTCGGGCCATTGCATCCTTTTGACGTGTAGGCGCACATGTATTAGGTAATGACAGTATCTTTTAACTTGTTGAAAGCCATGTTCTCAAACGCTGCTCGCCATATTTGAGTGTGTGATGACCAGTGAACAGATTTTACTCTGCGTATATTGAGTTTTGACCCAAGAGGCATAAGACATAAGGTGCACAATACCCAAGCCCCTGGATTCCAACTTGGAAAATCCTCCTGCTCTAGACACAATACCTTGAAAGCAAATGAATGCGGATGGTACAATTTGTCCAGTCGGACAGCGTACATCTTGTCAGCAAATAGAACTCCTGGCTGTTGAGGAGTCTGTCTGCATTGATAACATTTGTCAATGTGCTGCAACCACTGACATTTAGCTACGTTGCAATGATGTGTGCTGCTCCTGTTAAATATTATTTTGCTGCATTTTTAGGGTATCAGAGAAACTGGACGGCGCTTGATTGATAATTACTTCAAGGCTGTTCGTTTATGTGCCTGCTCAGCCGATCCAGGAACCCTACAAGCGACTGTGGCAGCCATTGGGAAAATCGATGTCTTGAAATGCAAGCCAGAGTTTCAGCATTGGGGTGGGTATCCTTGCCACCAATCAACTTCAGCCCACCTCTCACAGCTGGCTGAGTGAATAGTCCCTGACTGTTGAACTGTTGCTGAACAACAATGCTTAGTTCTCTAAGAGGCTGAACTGCACGTTGTACTCAAGAACTGAAAAGGGGCAACGTGATTACTCATGTGGTCACAATAAGTAGTCTTACACAGAAACAGCGCGATGACGACCCAGTCAGCTTGTGGTGGGATGATTTCTGCGCTGTGTACCCATTGGGGCTACACTGTTGAATGAAAACTACTTGCAGACCAGAAGCACAGCTCACAATCACTGCCGATATGCCGTTTGCCAAAATCAACAGCTTGTGACACATCACGCATGGGAATCAGCACAAATGTTGTACCAAATCCAGGTCAACCTGGCCTACAGTTTCAAACTGAACAAAACTTTTGTGTCCAACAAAACAAGGAATGTTCAGATAGCGTTGTCTTAAGAGAGGGAGGGCAGCAGACATACTGGCAACAGGAGCTGCTGGCGCTTGGGCTTTTTGTGCCTGCTGCTTGTTCATTCCATGTTGCCGTTGGAACAGTGGTACAGCTTACATAAAACGTGGTGACCATCTGCCCGCGCTGCCAGTTTTCAGTGCATTGAGACTCTGTATTCCTCTCTGCAGCGCACAGTGTGTGGTCGCAAATAGTTCACACAGCAGCCACGATCGCCTGCAGCAGTGTGTCCAGGGGCCCTCAAGGTCCACAGGCTGCTGACCAACTGCTCGCCGCTCTGCTGGAAGATGGGTTGGTCTCTCGACAATTGGTTGGCCCATCAGTTGTAGCAGTGATGGATGGCCACATGTCACAATTTGGAGCAGAAAAGGTAGGTTGCAAGATGTATTTACAAGGATTGCCATGTGGATGCATTGTTCACATTGCTGTCAGAGAGTTTATGTACACCTCGCCAGTGACCCCTTCCTCAATGTATATGACTGTTCTTGCAAAGGATACAGCATCCAGCCCTAATTGTGCAATAGGCCAGGATGGATTCAGGTCAGAAGATGGGTAGGCTTGTACAAATGTGCCCAGCAGGTCAGTTCAACAAATAGCTCTATGGTGATAGTTTTGGTGGAAGTCAAGCGATGTGTTTCTGAACCCAGCGGAGCAACCTGGGACTCTTGCAGCAAGTGCTGGTGCTTTCCTGGACTCTGAACCTCTAACTTGGTGCTTAGTAATTCCCTGAATTGAGATCGTCGAAAATGGAAAACAAACATCACCAGTGGAACAAAAACAGCAACGATGGATGCAAGTGACTGTGTTCTAACCAAGGTGCCTTGTGGGCAATCTGTGCAGGTCTTGTCCGTGGCTGCTGAATGGTTTGATCAGGCCGATGGTGCAGGCCCCCCCCCACCTGTAAGAGCCCTCAAGCACATCATTACAGCCTGCCATTCCATTGGGGACTCAGATCTTCTCATGGGTTCTTGGGACATGCTTGTCGGCCCAGCAGTAAAGAGCCTTGGTTGGATTCCCAGGAGTGTCTCCTCTGCCTTCCTGGTGGCAGCCTTTGACTTCGATGCCAGGGGCGATCGAAGAGTGGCCATAACTGAAGTGGTGCAGCATGGCAGGCACACCATCAAGGCATTGGCAGCTCTGGCAGCTGCCGGGAATGATGTGCTAGGTATGTGGCTTCAGCACTGGTTGCTGTTGGACTTTGTGGCAAGCTACATGTCCCAGAAAATGTGAACTCACGCTGCATGTACATCCTTCAAGGCACCATCAGTACACATTGCGTGTGTCAGTGCCCATAGCTGCCAATTTCTGCCAGTAACACAGTACACTGTGAACCATCAGATTAACTATTCCTTGTACCAACGTTGTCCTTGTCGCAGCCTGCATAACTGCATTTTGTTTTCAACACAGAACTAAGTTTTGGGCTTTTCTGACGATGAGTGCGTGAGAAAATTTGCAGCAATGCATCACCTGTTCACATATTGCTGCTCAATGTTGTCAGTAACTAATTGAATTTCAGGGTGTGAATAAAATGGGACAATGAATACAGATGCACGTATTGCTTCTCATCATTGTCCTGCAATTCCGTGGAGGGCTTGCCGATGCCACCAAATAATTGAAGGAATGACAACTGTACTGTCATGCCGAAAGAGTGCAGTCGAAAGCGGTTTCATTCTCTGCGTTGTGATGCATGTTGTCCAGTTCCCCCGCAGATGGCCCCCTCCTTGTAGCTGAAGACCTAATCAGAATGGTGAGGAAGGCCCAAAAGAAGGATGATGTTGACCTCCTCCTGAACAGTGCTCTTGGATGCCGGCGGGGCCAAACACTCCGGCAGACTGCTGGGCTGCGGCCAGAGACAGATGTGCAGGAGTTGCTGTGGAAGGGACAGCTGCCAATGGTCCCATGGACGACAAGATTCGGGACGCCGGTTCTGGAAGCTTCCATAGCAGCATACATGAGGTTAGGGAGTGAGCATGTGGCACACGAGATGGCGACTGCAGTTACGAATTCGAAGAGATCAGTGAGGGTGCGCTCCCAACTTGTTTGTGTGCTTTCTGCCCTGTGTACTGTCCTCACAACAACCTTGCACATGCCACAGAACGATGGGTTGACACCCTTGGGCCAAGCCAGTTGTTTGCTGATCCTGTCAGTCCAGTTTCCTGCTGTGAATCTTGCTCACGTTTTCTTCTGCATCCTTGTAAAGAGTTGAACTGGCTTTGGCTTCAGACGCCTTGGTGATCTTGTCTATGCAACTGGTTCATGGGCATGATTATTGAGAACATTTTGGCAAGGACACGGTGCTCTGAGTGGAGTAGGTTACTCTGGCCTCAGCACAGGTGTGCATATCAAGTCGTGCAAACCTGCCAGAGTGTGCAGTGACAAGGTAGCAGACCCACATTTGCAATGAAAGTACTGTATATTTGTTTTGCACATGTTTATGACGACTTCAAATTTCTGTATCCAGCCGCTCATGGAGTATGCATCCGCAATGGCAAGTGCTGGCAATCTACAAGCTGTGGCACGGGTGGTCGAGCACCTCAAGAGGAAGGGGCGTGTGTTGAACACTCGATCTGCACTGCAATTGATCACGGCCATGTCAATGACGCCATTCAAATCAAGTGATGGACACGTAGGCCCATCTGCTGTGAAAACTTGGCTTTCACTGGTGAAGGTTTCGCCCACTGCATGGGAATCAGTCTTCCAGGCAATGGTCAGGGCAGGCGATCGGGGGGAATTGGTGATGTCATACCTGCCAGTTGCTCTAAACGAGCCTTGCAGTGTGGCTGGACTTGTCAGAGGCAGAGGCCCTGCACGAAAAGCTGCTGCCAGGGTGAAAATCATCATGTCTGCCTTGAAAGCTATTGGCGCTATTGATGGACTGAATGGACAGCAGCGGCTCTTGCTGTTCAAGAAAGCCTGGTTGATAGGAAGAAAGCGTTTGGGGCCTTCCATTGATGCCACAACGCTGGACAGAATCATGGCCTCGGCAATTTGGGCAACAATGCAAGGACCACAAGCTGCATCTGATGTCCTGTCAGGTGAGTCCCTAATTTGGCGTGGTGGCAGCCGCATTCAGTGGCTGCGTATTCACATCCGACAGTGAGTCAATGAAGTTGGATTTATCCCTGATACACAGTACACGAGCAGACCCATAAGAATGTGCATGTTCTGCATCTATCCTGACTGGTTGCTGGTTGATGCAGGGCATGCCACACAGCTCATTTTGGTGTGCCTTAGACTTGGACTCGTCCCATCAGATAAAACGGAGAGAGCGCTGCTTCAGTTGTGTAAAATGGCGGAGGAAGAGTCTGGCGGCGCCTTGAAATGCTTTTCTGGCAGGTTGCTGGACACCATGGGCATCAGAGCCCAGGAGGTGAGCAACAGACAAAGTTGTACTTCAGGTGTTAAACTCTTCACCCGTCAGTGGCAGTGCACTGTACTCATTTTGGTATTCAAGAAAGCCCCAATTGACTTTGTGGAACTTGTCATGCATGCTTGTGTGGAGTCTATGGTCATCATGGCTTTTTATTGCCCAAGGTTGTCGTGACTGACGCACAGATTTCTTTGCTCCTTTCTCTTGACTTGAACAACGTGTTTGGACGTGTGACTGTATTCCTGCGACTTTATTGACAGTTGAGTGCGGTGGACAAACCAAGCCGCGGTTTAGGCATTGATAGGCGTTTCTTGGTTGCGTGGCTAGGTCTTCGATATGGCAGAGAGAGATGCTGCTGGCAGCAGCAGTGCCATTCCCGCCAGTGACATTCGTGATGGCAGGATTGAAGAAGGGGTCCTTGCAACTGCTGCAGGGGCCTTGCGTGCATCAATTTTACGCAAATGTTTTGCAGATGTGAGGCTCATCATTGAGCGTGGTCCGACTTGGGAGCTCAAGGCTTTGGTGGCGTCTGCAGGTCACACAGTTCAGAGGACAGCACTGTTTCAGAGCTTCTGAGACTGTATTGTTGGAGCAAACGACCAACTATCTTGGTTAACACTTGGGGTTTCGATATGTGAATGAGTCATTAGTGCCATGTGCCTCAACACCACACTTCCCTTCCAGACTGCGATTCTGATTCCGATGCATGGAACAAAGCTCGATACCCGTCATTACTGGACATGCAGGTCATGAAGGTCATTAAGGCCATTAAGGTCATTTCGGATTCAGGAGGCTCTTAGGCTTTACTTCTCTGTCTGGGATTCAGTCTCGCCTATTTAGTATGCGAATTTGCAACATGAGAAAGAAGTCAAGTGCCAACTACAACGCCATATTTAGAAAGCCAGGTCCCAATAAACTATGGATCAATGGTGGGAAAGGTGGTTTAGAGTGGTTTTTGGAATCCAAAAAAGGAAACTATGAATAATCATTTCCCTCCACTGAATGCCAACATGTGTGCCTTCAAATGCGCGCTCTCTTTGACAAGAATCAGCCGTTCATTCAACCCGTTGGCGCCATTGACTCAATTGCACAGCGCTGCCTGCGCCTAACAGCCCAACTGCTTCAACGCGACCACCGCCACATCAGTTTGTAGTGGCGTTGGCAGCTTCACCGTCCTTGGTCCTTGGGATCACAGAAACGGGCATCACTATGGGAAGCTCTTATTAGCGGGTTTGGCAAGACCTTGGAAATTCTCAATTCTCGACCCACGTCTATTGGTTGAAAGTACTGCTATTTACTCTGCACTTTTCCATTCAGTGCCAATATAGAGCAGTTCGTGGTCTCACAGATAACGACCTAGTTTCAGTTTCAAAATGAAGGAGGTCTGAATTCCTCGCACAAATGTGGCTTCACACCCAAAAGGCGACACTTAATTCTGGACAGAGGAAGTAGATATTAGGGCCCTCGTACCCTTCATGACCTTCATGAACCTTCACAACCTTCATGACCCTTCATAACCTCCATGGCTGAAAATGATAGATATTGGGACAAACCTCATGTGCGTGTGCATTGTCAGCATATGCTGACGATTGTGCTGCATTTTGAGGCTTTATGTAGTTATGTGGCACTATAGTCAGGGAACATGCGTATGTACAAAGTGGGATAGCTGTTAAGGCATATCATCTTGTGTTCATGGGAATGGTGCACATCGGTCTGCGTTGTAGCAGCCATCCATTTGTCCCCTCTAGCTCCTGCGCAATGCATTCACCCCTAACATGCACATGCGGCCATCTTCGATTGCTTCTTTCTGAACGTCACTCGCTCACCAATCTACAACTAAATGGCGTCTCCATTCCCTCAGGTTGCTGGAATTGTGTTGCCCTTTTCAAGAGCTTCTTTGTATGGAGTTTGTGCTGTGAAGGCTAGAATATCTATTGGGCAGGGCTACACAACTAGCGTTTTAAACACTGGGTTTTGGCCTCCAACTCCATTGCAGCTTGGTGGATGTCAACGCTGCAAAAAATAATCGCCCTTGGAATGTGCATTTGGATATCCAGATGCAGACCGATGGATTCTGTCAATTTCTGCTTGGCCGATTTCCGTAACCATGGTTGCAATAGTAGTCGTACTGGCTCGGCTTCAACTCTTTCTGGGAGCATTCTGTCTTCTGGAGCAGAAGATGCATCTTCTGCTAGCATATGCTGGGCGGCAGTCCACAGGGATTGAAAGAGTTTGCTACCAGTGGGGAGTAATCGTCTGTTGCACAATCCAAGGGACAAAGCTCGCCTCAAGATGGGAATAAGACAAGGATGTGTCAAAGTTGCAACTGCTGCAACTGCTGCAACTGCCCCAGGTTTCTTTGGTGGAGACTCAGCCCCCCAAAGTTGGGCTGAATGTGGAAGCTATTGCAAATCCCTAAGAAGACTGTTGGGGAGGCAGTGGCGAGCTCAAGGTGCAGCATGGAGAGATGCAACTGTATGTGTCGTTGTGGATGTGCCCCAATGCAAGCATAAAACTCTCTCTCAGGGCCAATGTGGCATTCCTTGCAACGCATTGCAATAGCAGCAGAGACAATTGTGGGTTTGGATGCAGCATTAAAAACATTCCTCCAGAAACTTACCAGTGCACTACATTTGCACAAACTATTCATTCACCGCTGCTCAGTCAGTCTCATGGTGATGTAGCTGCTCCCCAAAGCCTTGCTCAAGTCTACCAAAAGTACACCTCCCCAATGAAAAGGATCCATTGAAAAACCTCTCCCATATGAAGGCACGAAGGGGGGACGTGACCACCACGTTGATGGGCCAAGTGCCATGTGATCACACGCTCATGAGCAGCAGAAAAGTCACCGCATTTTGCCCAGGCCAGGGCGTCCCATGTTCCACCAAGCATTATGAATCCTCCTTGAGTGAAAGCATGCCACGAGTTGGACCCTGGCCCGTGGGCACAGACCCCAGGCAATGCTTTTCTCTGGATTCCCAACAAACCAAAAGAGGCGTCCCTGGCCGCAGTACTTAAGAGAGCGGGAAGGGGTTCGCGCATGGAGCGCGATAGGGTACTTGCGCTGATCCCGTGGGCTGCATGGTGTGGGGCATGTGGGGCTGAAAACTGAGCAAGCCTTGTGGCCAGGCACCTTGGGGTGAAATCCCCCCCGCTGCTACTACATCATGCATGCCGCCTTTGCGCCACCTGTGCACCCAGTCATACAGGCTGTGGCCTCCTGGAGGCCCCAGTGAACCAACAACCCTCGGGTGGCGCCAAAGCCCGTGCCTCGATCGGCGGACGAGACCCAAACTCCGGGACAGGCATGGCACCGGCGAGGCAGTTCCCCGTGCCGGCAGACATTGACATTGCCCAGACCGCAGATCTGACGGACATCGCGCAGATCGCAGACGCTCTGGGGCTGCTGCCATCGGAGTTCCAGACGCATGGACCCACGAAGGCGAAGGTGAGCGACTCGGCACGGGGGGACGAAAGGCGAATTGGTACCGGGTGATAGCCTGGCGGCGGACGGCTGGTGGAGACGCGCGTTGTGGGACGGCGCGTTCTGTTTGGAGCCATGGGCAACATGGAACCGGGGTTTGGGTTGTTTCTGGCGTTGCGCGGAATTTGAAGGCCGTGTGTGGTTGAAGGTGAAATTGGATGTGCTGAAGCGCCTGGAGGGGGCTCCGAATGGGAAATATGGTGCGACGGGATTCTGGCATCAAGGGTTCGGAAAGCAGATGTGGGCCATGAAGCATTGGTTTGCAGTCATGTTGGCGTGATGCTCAATTTTCGACAAGCCAAGTGTGGATCTCCAGCAAAATGACCGGTAGAGGCGATTGCCGACGGTTCAAATTTTGAGGGTCAAATTTCAAACTGTTGTGATTTGAATTCGAACAGTTTCTTGTTTTCAAAGGCCTGACCTAAGGATTCACATTTTTCCACGAATGATTGGAATATATCGTCTGCTTGCTGTACACAGCGTACTGTGCTTTTTTGTCTTTTATGTGCATATCTTCATGGTATTAGAAGCGCGTGTGTGAAGAATTTGAGTGCCATTGTGGATGAACACTGTGAATTTCAATGTGGTTGTGCAGTTGTCGTGGCTGGAATCACCCCCACACCACTGGGCGAGGGGAAGAGCACCACCACAGTTGGTTTGTGCCAGGCATTGGGGGCGGAACTGAATAAGAAAGTGAGTGTATCCTATCATTGACGAAGACGATGGGCTCTGTGTATGCAATGCGTGGATCTTGAATCAGAGCCCAGTCTGCCGAGTGGGTGGTTGGCATGTTCAAGAACCATCTCAAGTGCTTGACAGTCACACTAAGGCTTTCATTTCTTGATGAGAAGTGTGTGTGTGTAAGGAAATGCTGCGCAACAACTGCTGACCTGTGGACGACTGGGGCAACAACGATTGTTGATGTCCTAGTGTGGAGATACCTTGCTTTGTGTTTTGATGGCTGCAGCTTGTTCATTTTCGCGTGAGTGCCACATGACTCAGATGCGACTGCCATGTCTTGCATGATGCGTAAGCTCGCATTTGCGCAGATGTGCAGGGCATCTTCCCTCTGCATGTTGTCTCGCTACCCGTAGCAGCAGGCCCCAATGCGAATTCTTCTGTGGTTAACAGGTGGTGACTTGTGTGCGTCAACCAAGCCAGGGGCCCACCTTTGGCATCAAAGGTGGGGCAGCAGGCGGAGGTTATTCACAGGTGACACTGACAGCAGTTCTTTGATTGTTTGCACGATCAATACAAACAAAATTAATGACTATTTGGCCAGCAGCAGGCTGTAGGGTAGGTTGACAAGAATTGGCACAAGTACTGATCCTGCCCAGGTAATAGAAAGGGGATATGGTGTTGCAAAAGGAATGGTGCATCTGAATCTCCTGTTTGTGTCGAAGAATGCCATGTGCTGAACATTGTCTGCATAAGCTGGTGGTTGAAAATGGGGCAGCAGCCACACCACTCCCTGTTACAGTTTTTTGTTAAGCACACTTCCAATTCAGCAAGCGCATGACGGTTATGTCGATTGCCTTCGATTTGGAGGTTGCAAAAGAAGACTTGGATGACCTGACATGTGCTCCATTCTATTCTGTCATCCATGGTAGCTATGCCACTGAGCGCCTGGTTGTAAGCGGGACAATGTGCAGTCACACTTGTCTCTTCTGTGTTTGGACCTGACTTCATCCTCATTGTTTGCATTCGTCTACAGCATAACAAAATGTTTTCCATTCATCTATTGAATGATTTCTGCTGTGATGATCGGCATGTGCAGGTTGTCCCCATGGAAGAGATGAATCTGCATTTGACAGGTGACAGTGAAACATAAGCATGCTGTGGTGCCAGATGATTTGACTTTCTATGCAGAAGCTGTGCTATGGTTATTGAATGAGGAAAGTTGAACGCTCATGCCACCCGTGCCAATTGAAGCATTGCATGAATTCGTCAAAATAATTTCAATTGCAGGTGCTTGTAGGCAAAATCATTGGTCTAGTGGTTGGGAACTGCAAACCTTGTAGGTACACGTGCAAACACACTGTTTGCAGGCTATTGGGCATTAGCACTGAACTATTGTCAGCTGTTCTGCTATAGGGTATGCAGTTCAGCATGTGATTTGAAGCATAAGCACTGTGGCTCATGTTCATAATGTACACATGCACTGTTCCAATGTGTCCTGTTCACTTGTTCTTTTGCCAAGTAGCTGTTTTGTCACCTTTGTCGACTTTGGGTTTATAACAATTGAGATTCCTGCACATTGCAGGAGACATCCATGCTGTCACTGCTGCAAACAACCTTGTGGCAGCTGCAATTGACACCCGGATCTTCCATGAAGCAACACAGAAGGATGAAGCATTGTTCAACAGATTGTGCCCAGCCAATGCTGAGGTTGGATGGCTGCTTGGCTTGCCTGTTTGCCCTTTCTGTGAAGCTCTGATTTTGGCAGTATTGTCAAAGGACTTGTTGTCTGTCCTTGCACCTTGAAAGGGAAGGCAGTCAGCTGGCCTCTTTGGCATGTCAGGGTGGTTCAGAGGACATCGTTGTAAAGTATCTTCTTTTTGTTGGGGGCCTAGGTCTGAGCTGTGATTTGAGCTTGAATGTTATGCTGTGTGCGATATTTGAGAGATGCGTTCACCAGAAACACTGGCAGCTCTATGCAGGTCTTCATGGTGCAGGCGTGCCTCTTCTCAATGTCGAAATGCTTTCTGTTACACTGGCCTCTGCAAATTGCTGGCTGCTGGTGTCGTTCTGGGGGTTTGTCAGAGTTCATCAACACTTTTGATGTGCTCTTTGTGTTGGATAGTAGTTTGGTGCTTGTTGTGTCCCAATTGACGCTTGATCTGCTGTACACATCAGGGCAAGAGGAGATTTGCTCCAGTGATGTTGAAGAGGCTGGCTAAATTGGGGATTGAAAAGACGGACCCTGAGGAGCTGTCTGCTGACGAGAGGCGCAAGTTCGCAAGGCTGGACATAGACCCTGGCACCATCACTTGGAGGCGGGTGATGGACACAAATGACCGCTTTTTGAGGAAAATTACCATCGGGCAAGGGCCAACAGAAAAGGGTTTGATGAGAGAAACAGGTTTTGACATTGCAGTGGCAAGTGAAATAATGGCAGTGCTGGCCCTGGCAGGAGATCTAGCTGATATGCGTGAGCGGTTGGGAAGGATGGTGGTTGGGAGGGACAAAGCAGGTGTGTATTTCGAAAACACTGATTTCAGAATTGAGTTGGACTGGGAATCAGTAACTCTCTATGAAATACGGGAAGCCAGGATGCTTTCGCATCGGATGCCTGCAGTTTTGCACCTCCTTGAGGTCAGCCATTCTCATATTTCTTGCAACTGGTGCTCTTTGCCATGCACCCGGTGTACCCCAAGACCACCCCTTGTTTCCATGCCACAAATTGAGGAGGCCACTGGCAACAAGCATCCTGAGGTGTTGTAGTCATTATATAGCGATTGTTGACAACTGGGCCACACAGAGCATGTTTGGTGGGGCTTTGTTTGCGCAGTTCTTGTTTGGCTGTGAGCGATCACGTCAGTGCCTCTTGCAGTCATTCAACCCCCTGACCCTGTTCATGTGGGTCTTTTGCTTGCATTTACCATTCCATGGCAGAGCCGTATCCTTGCGTCTTGGAAGTGGTATTTCAGAACTGTCAGAGCCTAAATAATCCATTCACAGCACATCTCCATGGAGGTGGTGCCAAGGAAGGAATGGGCCTTTTCCTGTTGAATGTACCACCTCTGCTGCTTTCACTTTAATTGTTTATCTCAATTCACCCAGGAAATCCATTGACTACAGATGATCTGGGTGTTGGTGGGGCCATCACTGTCCTGATGAAGGATGCTATCATGCCTACCCTGCTGCAGACACTCGAGGCTACTCCTGTGTTGGTTCATGCTGGGCCATTTGCCAACATAGCCCATGGCAATTCCTCTGTGATTGCCGATCGCCTTGCTTTGAAGCTTGTTGGGTCTGATGGCTATTGCGTAACAGAGGTGGGTACTCAAACCTTCTGGTCTTGCAAATGAATATGATGATTGTCTAACTAGCATACAGGGGTCTGAGATGACTCCCCCCTCCCCCCAGTAAGCTTTGTGTTGTCATCCACTGCTCAAATTGGTGCTTGCTAAGGTTCTCATCGCATTGCCTTTGTCCTCCAGCGGCAGTCAATAGGATTCTCATGATGCATGTCTGCATTATGCCAATGGGGTATGTGTCAGTGTGGGAAACGCTTGTCAACAGGGGTTCCACCCATGGCATGCAGAAAGAAGCTGTGGGTTTTTAGGCTTGCATTTGTTGAAGCTTGGAACTGCATGTTGCACAAGATGTCTGCAGGCGCGTTCCAATGGTGGATCACGTTGTCTGCCTTTGTTCTTCCACATTTGTTCATGAAGTAAATGAAACGACTTGTTTGTGAGGCTGCCTTTGTACCGATCCATGCTTATTTCACCTCGAAAATCTGACCAGAGCAATACATGTGAGTTTGCTAAATTGAACCAGTGCCATTCATGATGAGAACTCGAAATTCTTACTCTGTCGCTGACCCTGCCCGAAAATGGGTCTCTGAGTAGGCCCCTACCTGCGATCGCCACGATGTCAGAAGGGTAGATAAGCCAACGCCACTCACACTCAACACAGCAGTGGCAGTCCTGAAGCTATAGGGTGGCTAGGGTGGCAGCAGCGCCATCCAACCAGAAGCGATAAGCTGCATTATGTGAACCGCAGATTACTGGCAAAAGTACCTCATTTCAGAGACCTGCCAGAATGGACTGACTGACCACATTTACTCGCAGACAAGATGATTATTAGGATGTTGATACCTGATCTTTCCAAATCCGACACTGTATTTGACATTTTACTCTTTGTTTGGGTTGTAGATTTGCTTTGCCAAACTGTTTATTTCGGGACAGAGGAAGTAGCTTGGTTGCCATCCATCCATGTTTCATTTTTCAGTCTGAATACAATATGGCCAACTATCAAACAAAAGAATGCAGCCTGCGCCTGGTGAGGGTGGATTGTTTTGCAAGACAATGAAATGGTTGTGGTAATGTGATCAATGCAGGATGGACTGTTCACTGCAACGTGCAAAATTAGACATAACAAAACAAACTGACACTGTGAGTCTGTCCAGCAATTGTTGTTATGGCTGCTGTTGCCACTTTGGTGTGAAAGGACGTTTGCTCCCATCCTGTGGTTGCGTTTTTCGTGTTGGTGATATTCCACACAGTTAGCTGCCAAGGGCAACATTGCCACACGATTGCACACATTTCTTTGTCAGCGATCGCCACCACTCACAATCATCGTTCGACCTCCTCTACATTGATGCATGCAATCGGTCTAGTGCCCTTTTCCATCATGTTTGGGCAGTGCCTGGCATGCATGCTGCCATGTGCAGCTTTTGAGAGGAGCGGCAATTCTTTTGTTGCTGCAGGCTGGATTTGGTGCTGACATAGGCATGGAAAAGTTCATGAACATCAAGTGCCGATCGAGCGGATTGTCTCCAGACTGCGCCGTGATCGTTGCCACTGTTCGAGCATTGAAAATGCATGGAGGCGGGCCCCCTGTTGTTGCTGGGAAGGCCCTTGACGATGTGTACAAGACTGAGAATGTCGAATTGGTCAGAGCCGGGTGCTGCAATCTTGCAGCCCATATTGCACACGCAAAGAAGTACGGAATCCCGGTCGTAATTGCCATCAACCGATTTGCAACAGACACAGACCAAGAACTTGAGACTGTGAAGGCAGAGGCTTTACAATCAGGTAGGGATCGCAAAGTTAACTGGAGCGTTTTCTGTGCTGATGTGGTGTGGCATCAATTCTAAGAGTTGAACTATCATGCAAGAATTTCTGTTCCTGTCCAAGCTGTGTACTGTAGCTTCACAGCCTGGATGTGACCAATTTGGCCCTCTTGTGGTGCTTGATGCCATAGGAGCCGATTTCGCCACTGTGTGTGAGCACCATGCAAAAGGTGGAGAAGGAGCAGTGGACCTTGGCAATGCTGTGATGGAGGCTTGCAGCAGGGATTCCTCTTTCAAATTCTTGTACGACATTGATTTGTCGATGAAGGTGCGCATTTTGTCCTGCAACGTGTGTAGGCAGTTTGATTGAATTCTCCTTTGGGCTCCATTTGTCAAATAGTGGCAAACGACAACCCAGGCACCTTCACCAAAGACAGTTCACTGCCATAGAAATTCGAGCATCTTGTTTTGCAGTTCCTTGCATTTTCCTTCATTCAGCACGGGTGCGTGCATCATTAATGGAGGCCAAGAACTGATAGATGCTACTGATAGCTGGATAGCTACAGATGTATGCAATTTGACATCTGTGCAAGTCTACAGAGGCCGTTTACAGCAAAATTTGAAACTATTAATCGATTGTTGACGCTGCTGTTGTTCATATAGCTGTGTTTTCTCCTTCAACTATTTACAAACAACGACTCAATTGGTAGGCGTGTGTACTAAATGGATTGGTGGACATGGACTAGAGATGAAACAGAGCAGCATAGCTGCCTGGTGGTTTTCTGCGTATTCCACTGACATGCAGTAGGACCAGCAATGCTTCTGCTGGGGCCATTGACATTGCCCATGGAGATTTCCAAAATTAATGGTGTGAATTCTATTTAATAATTCCTCTATCTCGAATTAGCTGTTCCCATTGTGAGAGATGAATGTCATTACGAGAATGGCCTCAAAATCATAGAAAGATTGGCTCCCAAATCGCTTAATCACCAACTCCCAAGATGGAAAAGTGAGATACATTGGGCGGAAGGTGGATTTTGGCCATTTTGACCGAAAAATTCGAGGTTTACTGCGTACGAGTTTACTTGCTACAAAGCATCGCCAAATCCTCAATGCTTAACGGATTGACTTGATTTTTCGACAGTTTACTCCAAACACTCCATGGGCGCAGCTTTGGAAGAAGTGTCATTGAAAACCATGGTGAAGCTTCCACGGTGAAGAAGTGGGGAGCCAAAGTCATGGGTGACAATTAATTCCGGACAGAATAAGTACATTTGTCAAAAGCACATGACAAAAAAATGAGATTGTAGACTGATTTAAGTTGCGACAATTCGTACAGGCGAAGATTGAGACCATTGCCCGTGAGGTGTATCATGCCGGGAGTGTTGAGTATCTTCCTGAAGCAGAGCAGCAACTTCTGCAATACGAAGCGATGGGCTACGGTCATCTTCCCATATGCATGGCTAAGACGCAATACTCTTTCAGTGCTGATCCAAGCGTCAAAGGTGTGTGCCCGAGGCCTCCTGTTGGGTGGCCGCTGCTATGTGGTGCACACCTTCAGTAAACGTTGAGGATTCTGGCTGGATTTGTGGCCCCTTTTGGCGATGTTGCCAAGGATCAAGGGTTGTCGTAATGCGGCTATGCAGCAATGCTGAGGATCAAGTCTTTGCCCAGATATGGTGCAATCAGCACTGAGTGACTGACGGCGGAAATGCAGAACCTGATGTAAGTATGTCGCCTGCACATTTAGTTGTTTGGGGCTTCTGTTAAATGCGGTTCCTGAGTTGGGTGCGCATGTGGCCAAGACGGCCTTCTTACTATCGCTTCTGCTAAGGCATTATTATGATGCGTCCTGTTAGGTAGCCCATCTGGTTTTGTTATTCCGATTCGTGAGGTGCGAGCAAGCGCTGGTGCAGGATTTCTGTATCCTCTCGTTGGCGATATGAACACCATGCCAGGACTTCCGACAAGGCCATGCTACTACGAGGTAAGAGTGAATCCCTGCTTGTTTTGCACACGAATCTACGGTTATCATCGGATTCAATGCGTTCTCTGGCAGATCTTGGGCGTTGAATTCACCTATCACTGCTGCAAACCTTACAGCTGCTTTGTGATGTGAGCTGGCGAGGCTGCCTGCCTCAGCAGTGCCACTTTGGTGCTGATCAAACGGTGCATGGAGGGATGGGAGTGGCCAGTACCGCAAAATTGAATTGGATCCCGTGCCTCACGATGTCCTCATTTCCTGTGTTGGTCTGAACGTTCAAACCCGTATGTTATGCTGGGAGAGCCTTGCACCATCCACATCTGTGGCACAATCATGTGGGTGCCCATGCTTTGCTTCAAATTCATGTGCACTACAGATCGACATCGATCCATCGACTGGAGCCGTACTTGGCCTTTCGTAGATGTCCAGGGCTCAATCTTCGAGTCCCTGAAACGCTGCCGATGTTCTGAAGTCTCTGATGGCCTTCTTACGGGCTTGCGGTGAAGATTATCAGGCTGTGGCGGATGTTGCAGTCACACGGCATGTGCAAGAAGACTGGCGTAGATCGGCTGGATATTTCATTCGAGGACTGTGCGTACGCCGTCTATCCTCACAGTCATGATGCCGCGATGTGAACAAAGAATTACCTATTGATTTACTGCGGCTCGACAGGATCTGCCTAGTGCGCTGGTTGAGAATTTTGGGCGCTGCATTTTTAACGCTTGTCCTCAGCGCGTGGTTACGCAGTGACTATTTTGAACCAGTGGTGGAGGGCCGATTTCACACTTTGCAGTTTTGGTACCGATTTAGCCGCTGATGTTCAATGGCAGCTGTGAGCAGTGGGGCGGTTATTTTGAAAGGAGCGCAGGTTGTTTTTGTCTGTGGCAATTAAGAAAATTACGAAAGCAATCATTTGTTTCAGCCCATGCATGTCGTAGCTGTCCAACACGTGCAGGGCTCCAAGGAAATCTACCCAATGTCTATTGGTTTCTTGATTTTTCCATGACCTGCCATCAATTTTGTACTCATGCTCTGAATTTGGGAATTCGAGACGCCTTGTTGCCAGCGATGAATTCCTCAGTTGGTTTCTGGCATGGGCGGCTCACCACATTTCATGACACTGTGACTATCCGTTGGCTGCCTCCCCTAGAACTCCGATGTTCCCCGCTCTTCTCACTCGCCTTGTTCCCTCCCGGCCCTTCCAGTCTCCTAGTGCTTGCGGCCTTGCCCCTCTTCTTGGCCTGAAAGCTGATGAGAAAATCCCTGTGGTTGGGCTTCACCGCCTCCCCATCCAAGTCGACCACCTCCCTGGCCGCCATGATGACGTTGTCCTTGTACTTCGGCTCTGCGCACACCGGGCACCCCTTCAGGCTCAGGCTCTGTAGATTCTGGCAGCCTTCCGCCAAGGACATCACCTCCCGCAGGTCGCTCACCCCGTTGTTGGACAAATCCAAGTTTGTGAGGGACCGGACTGGCGCCAGGGCGCTGGGGTGTACTACACCGTTTCCGGCAGCCCTCAGGGTGTGCAGGCTCTCCCACGAGCCGCTCCCCAAGGACCTGATGGCTTTGGCGTCCAGCTCAAGGCGGCAGCCCTGGGGGAGCCGCTGATTGGAGACGTGCAGCTCCTCCAGAAGAGGGCACCCCTCGAACCCCGGCCCCAGCCGCTGGATTCTGTTCCCGTCCAGGTACAGCTTCCTCAATCCAGCGAGCGCCCGGAGGCTGTGCACGGTCTCAATGTCGTTGTTTTGGAGGTAGAGGTGCGTAAGGTTGGGGGCGAACTCCAGGTGCTCGAGTCGACGGATGCGGTTGTCCCACAGGTACAGCACTCGCAGGCCCAGGCACTGTGGCAGGTCCTTGGACACCGCCGTGATGCGACAGCTGTTCAAATGCAGGTGCGTGAGTTTGGGCAGGGACAGCGCCACGCACAGGCTGGGCTTCGATCGTCCTGCGTATTTTTCGGCCGCTTGCAAGATCATACTTCTTGGCATTTCAACGTCCTTAGGACTTCTTGTGGTGCCACTGCGCACCTGTAAATGGTGTGCACAAGCACCGCCTCAGAAGTTTGTGTTGCGAGCGTCCCGTGTCCTGAGATGAATGTGGCACCGGGCGGTAGGCTGACGAAGGAGGCACCGATGAGTTGTGCAATTCGCAGGGCAAAGGTGCGCATATGCTGCAACACATATGCTGCATGTGCCCCACCGGCGACGTTCATGTGATCACTTCTGCATATGGGTTTATGGTGGTACTTCCAAACCTGCCGTGCTCTGTGGCGAATCTGGTCCAGAGGCCGTGACACGCAGTCTATGCTGGCATATGGATACATGCACCGACTTCACAACGACTGGGGCCACCCAGCAATTTGCACATGCCGGACATGTGCTACAGTCGTTTGTGCGCATGACCACGCCGCTTTAGCAAGGCGTACACCAGAGGCTAGCGCTCACCTGGTCACGTAAATCCAGACTTATTGGCACGTGTTTCAATGAATGTCACGAGGGTATGCGGCAGGTGTGCGTGTAGTGACATGCCGTCACACGAAAGCAATGTATGACGTTGCTTTCTTGTGACTGCTGCCCTTGAACGCAGCAATGCTGATCCGATTTCTGATTAGAATGAGGAGTTACGATCTTTCGGCATGAGCAAACTTCGTTGTATCCATGGATGCAAATTTCAGCCATATTGTGCCAATTGAATGCAAGTGGTTCATCAAGTGCACACGCGACATGCGAAACTGTTGCATAATGCTGTGGCCTCAAAACGTGGGCCTGTTGCACCACTTGGTCTTGAGACTCTCAGCCTCCCTAGCGTCAATCAACGACAAACCACCAGCAACGACACCCCTGCTTCTACCCTTCACACCATTCGCCGTTTTTTAAAGCCAATGCACGCCACCTCATACCCACCCGTGACCGGCCTTGGGCATTTGGACTCCAGTCACAGTCGTGCCTAGCTTCGTAGTAGTCCATCGATGTGCTCTGCCTTGTAGAATGTAGAGGGACGCCCCACAGCCTGCGAGACTGATCGTTACTCATCCAAGGGAATGGGCAGCTTCAAAATGGAGATCCACGCTACGCTTGTCAGTGCTTGCTATCCATTAATTAAAGGAAGGCGCTGAGCGTACCAAAATCACACAGCGCCTTCACTGACCTTTGATTAGAAACAAATATAGGGCACAAAGCATCAGCACATTCACATACGTATGGTTAGCGCACACTTTGGATCCTCTGCACAGATACATGTCGACACTCTTTCTGGATTTTTTATATTTGTTCCCCTCCTGTCGCAGTCGCCACAGGCGCACCCGTCGCCAAACAGAAACTCGCCGGTGACGAACGCAACGCGGGGGTGCACAGAAATTCGCCATGGCCAAAAATGACGGCCGCCGACCTGCCAGGGAGCCGTCGAGCTTGGGAGCCAGCGGGGCGACGACGCCCAGCAGCGTGGAGGCAACGGGGCGCTCGGACAGACCGGCGAGGGCCACGGGGACCAGGGCCCTCGCGCAGGGCGCTGGCTCTTCCGAGGCGCAGCTCAACGAGCTCAAAAAGAAGTATGCGCTGTTAGGTGCGCCGGCGCAGATCCCTGTTGCTGCCAGTCGCTGCTGCGACTGGGGTGGGCAGGCGAGACTGGGATGTCTTCGCCAGCCGTCAGATGCGCAGGACTGCCTCGTGTGGCAGCAGCGGAATGTGCGAATTAAGGTTGTCAGTGATCAAACTGGCACGGCGATGGGATAATCAATATTGTGCTCGTGGGTAAGAAAACCCGCTGGAATTTCGTGTCGCCCGCAACAAACTCGACTTTTATGTTCTTGAGTTTTCCAATGCATACTGCAGCTTCAATGCTAAAAACTTGGGTTTGCCTGAACCTAGAGTGCCTTGATGACTGAAAGTCTCGCAATTTCACATTCGGTACTTTCCAAGCGTGAATTTCGTCTTCGCGTACCCAGATGCATCTTTTCTATTCACAGCAATCTGCATGAGACTCTTGATGACTTGTTATGTGGATTTCGCAATGCAGAGGGCGACCGGCGCACGGCAGTGGACACATCTCAATTCGCCATCAAGCAGAACAGGGAAATGATCACAGCATTGAAGAAGGAGCAGAAAGAACTTAAGGCGGAGCTCATGAAAAAGAATTCAGTTCGGTGGGACCGACAAGGCAAGACTCAGGTGCAGAACACCTTCCGCTGTCGGCCCTGCCTGCCAACATTGCAGTCAGGTTAATTCCCACTTCTCGCCAAACCCGAACACCGACCCCTTCGATCCCATTTAAAAAATTAATCAAATTTTCTGCAGGTTTGCAATTAGATTCATCAGATTTTTGCACCCGGTTATAAATGAACATAGAAGAGAGAGTATGTGGGACTCCCTTGAGAGCGTTCGTGTGAGAAAACGGATGGTGACGACGTTGGCATGATCCTCAAATGCACCCTTGAAAGAAATTTGCTTTTTTTGGCAATTAAAGCAATAGTTTCGTCCATGTCAGTACCGGCATTACAGATGTCTGTTTTCGATCCTCATCTGTGGGTTACATCGAGGCCATAAGCTTGTGAACTAAGTTTCTCAATGCTCAATCAACCAGGCGTCACGCATCAAAGCCATCTGCGTGAATGCAGGTCGGCTGAAACCAACAGACGAAAATTTCCTCGAGAATTGCAGGTGGAACAGGAAATAGAAGACGTGGAAAAGAAGGTGCACAGCCTCCTGCAGGTCCACAACAAGCTCACGCAACATCGGCAGAGCTGCGCTGCGAAATTGAGCCATATTCAAGACAACGTGCGAGAATTCAACAAGGGAGCGGGGGCAGGAGATGAGAGCAGCCCTGCGCACAGGGAAATCAGAATGCTCGAGAACAGGCTGGACAAGGTTCGGCGGCTCCGAAGGCAAATGTAGCAACAGTGGAGCGCGCCTCCAAAGTAGAAAAATCGTACCAACTTTCGGTTTTTGGCTCTGGAGTAACAGTAGTTCGTGACTGATTTCTCGCAACTGGCACCACTACGCAATACTGGCAACCTTGTTGATTGCGTGTTTCTTTGGATTGGGCAACGTCAAGTATCTTGAACGCCAGCCCGGCAAAATCATTTCTGTGGATGTGCGCTTGTACCACGGGGGAATTTGATTTCCTCAACCCCTCTGGGATCCCTGTCGTCGCGGAACAGCAGATCTTCGATTCCCAGTCATGCCCCATTTACTTCTCTTTCGTTCAGCGGCCCCTTGGTGGGGTTGGACTTCATGGCCTACATACGGACAATGGGATATGAGATACATGAAACATGAGAAATGGCAAGCTTACAATGATGACCATTGTCTTCTGTATATGGTTGTGAAACAGAGCCTCGCCAAGAAGAACGAGGCGATGAATGTACAAAAAACATACGAGAAGCTTGCCAAGCAGCTGCGGGAGGATCTCAGTGCACAGAAAAAGCAACTGAAGGCCATGGAAGAAACTTCCAGGGCAAAGAAACTAAACATCTTGCAGCTCAAGCAGCTGGCGCACGATGCACAGCTGGCCAAGGAGCAGGCCAAGCAAGAGTTCCAAAGGGTGCGAGAGGGAAATGACCAAGAAAATGTGGTATTCCATACGCGACCTCTCCCCGCGCTTTCACTGGATGTTTCCGCTTTGTGAACCCTTCTCATGTGATTGTTTTGATTCCATGCGGTCTTCACACGCACAATACACCTCGCAACACAGTTTACAGTTTACAAAATAACAAAGCAATTCTGCTGCAGGCTGAATATTCCCTCTGCCTCGAGCAGTCACAGCCAGATTTCCACTGCAATGATCCTGAGCTATGCAAAGCCCAATGTGCTCAACCAGTAAACTCTAGCATGGCTATGGCTACAGCAATACGGGCACGTGTAGGTGCAAGGCAATTAGCAAGAGACATATGCAATACATATTTTCTTGGAGATGTTGCGGAGGAGGAAGATCTTGAAATGGGAATCTGGCTTCTTGAAGAATTTGCTCCGCCACAACTGTGTCTCTGATTCCTTGTGTACGCTATTTCGCCGATATTGTGGGCATATTACGTTGCCAGAAGTGGATAATGGTTGTTCAAGGGCTGGTCATCATCGCGCAGGTCAAAGAGGAAGTGGAGAGGGAGCGTTCAGAACGGCATAGGGACTTGGAGGAGCAGAGAAGTCAATATCGAGCAGTCCAAGATGTGAGGGGAGCACTGCGTGAAAGGCACCACAGCAAATTAGCCAATGAGGCAGGTCAGGTGCGTCTTCAATACATTGCATTCCTTGTGAGATGGCGTCGTGAGTGCACATTCTGAGGGGCAGCATTCAGACAGCCAGAAACCCTTGGGGCCTCACATGCATGAGCGCAACTGAACTGTGCCGCTGCTGAATTCCAGGCGACTGCCCATGTCCATCTCATTTCCTTTTGCACGTCTCCACGTTCTTGGAGTTATTTCAGAGAAGGATCGCATGCTGCGCGGTCGTCAGCGCTGCATTTGCTAACTGCAATTGCGTTTCTGCAGGAAGTGAGGGTGCGAATCAAGTGCACGCTCAGCAGCTGTTAGAGAAAATGCGTGCTGTCGTGGCCGTCGAGGATCCCGCAGACGTCATGGACAGGGTCGTGGCACAGCGGATGGCGCACGACAGCCTTGTTGAAAAGGAGAGGGAATGCAAAGGGAAAGAGCTGGAGCTGTCAAAGAACCTGGACTACTTCAAGGTCCGCACATCTGAGGATCAAACAGCATGTGCGAAAAGTGAGGTGTAGGTCATACACTGGGCGCGGCATTCCATGCAACAGGATTCGAGGCCTGCGCGCGTGCGTCCATCCAGGATTGACCTCCACGAAAACTGTCTGGATTGCAGCCCCGTCGAAGATGCACGAACGGAGTATGTTGGCCTGATAAGTTTGCAGGGAGTCGACGCCCTGATAAGGAGAACTCACAATCGTGGCCTGACCATAGATTGCCAGTAGAATGCCAAACTATGTCAATGTGGAATGTGCCACTCATTTTCAAGCCTTTTCTGGTTGCCGTGTCTCACAACCAAGCAGACTAGATAGCTCAAAACTTCTTATATACTTGCTCGGTACCTGTTGGGCGCAACGGCACACATGTGCATCTGCTCTTGCAAGGCTCTGGAGCCAAAATGAAGGCAAACATTCATACATAGGTCCAAGCATGGGTATCGCCGCCCGCAAAGCATCGGAGTGCCTATTGGATGAGAAGGGCTTTGCTTGGTTTGCCAAATACAACCAACAAGGATTGACGGCACCAATGGGCGAATGGCCGGCGGAAAGACAACAGTCCACGCACACAAGATGCTGCCACAGTTTCCAGCACACGTTACTAATAATTAGGAGCTGCTTTTCTGCAACTTTGCATGCAATAGCGTGGCCTTCTCTGAGCGACATTGCCAATTACACGACACATCTACATATCAATCATTATTTGGTGGAAGTTTTGGGCACCCTGAAAGCCGGAATTACGTCTGTCAGGCAGCATCGCACTGCCATGGCTTAACATTGTCATACATTACACACATTTGCCATTATTGACGCACATTACTGGCACGAACAGCTGTGCACAGTGCGGCTTTGTGTTGAACACCACATGTGGCTCTTGGGTTGCACTGAAATGGCTGCCGGTCGTGCTGCTGCTTCTCTTCAGTTGCACCTGGGCGAGCTCCGATCTGCAGGCTCCAATGCGCGTGGCTCGGGTGGCATGGTGGACAGGGCTGAGGCAGAGCTGCGAGCTGTCACTGATGAGTGCAACAACGCCAGAGACGCGTCAGAGGCAATGGCTCGCACGGTTGTGGAGGCTGTGGCGGGTCTGCAACACATCGTGCATGCGCTTACTGGGATCCCCAGCCAGGTGCCCCCTCTTCCGGTTGCGCCAGAGACCCTGGTGGAGGTGACGTGCCAATGCGGGGACAGGCTGGAGTGGGCACAGAAGGTAGCCCAAGTCGACCTCCAATTGCTGGCCCATTCACACAAGAATCATGTGCATTTCCTGACTTTCAGCAGATCTGATACTGGCTGCAGATATGTGAGGTGCAACCACCTCCGGGATTTCCACAACAATTAAAGGAACATCCACTCCCCTGGACAGAACACACATAACACATCAAAGTTACAACTGCAACAAATTTGCCGCTGCATGCTTGGTTCTTCACCGCTCACCGCACCACAATAAAACAAGATGCTGTTATGGTGTCCATGCAGGTGCTAAGATCGCAGGAACCTGGCAAGCATCCTCAGCTTGATGGCCATGCAGCAGGTTTGCACAAGCCCAAGGCTGAAAGGCAGCGAAGCGCGCATCACCCTGGTCAGTCACCCTCGTCTGCAGGCGCGTCTAAAGAGTCAGCAAAGTTTGCTGGGGCCACATCAGCCATACTCCAACCAAATTTGGCATGAACCAAACTTTTGTGCTGCTGGCCGTCTTGGGGCTGCTAGCCCCTCCACAATACGTCATGACACAGAATGGGCTGCAGGGGACTGGGCGAAAAGGAACAGGGTTGCAGAATTGACAAGGTCAAAGGATGAACTTGGCCCTGCATAGCCTGGCCATAGTGCTCAGGGACCTTGGAAGGCCAAAGAAGTCCTGGCAGGGTTCTTGTGATCGCCTTGACCAGTTGTGGACATCCTTGGACTGCACACATCCAACTGGATAAGTGGACTCTGCAGCAGTCTCTATTGACGCTGTGGCGGCTCCTTGTTATTCACCCACCCCATGCTCCAAGGAGGCCACACCTGTGGAGAGGAAACATTGGGGACAATACTATTCAGCTCTGCAAGAAAACTGTATAGTCAGCATTCGCCATGGAAGCGGCTGGCAAGACACATAAACCATGATGATATTGCGACAGAAACACACACCAGACTCACACTGTAAGTACATAGATTGAGTCAGGGTGCCACATAGAAAGCCACAAGTACACCATTCGACGTAATTGTTTCAGCAGCACACAACCGTGCACTGTGCCATGACCATGGCCCAAAAGTTCGTTTTGTTGATGCACCCAAGAAAGACAGGGAAGCAAGTAACCACATCAAGAGACAACAGGAGGAGAATCTACACAAATCTGCATTTGTACAGACTATTGAAAATTGAGTGTGAGGGTTCCAAAACACACTCTTTGGATACCAACAAGCTAGTTTGTGTGCACATATGTGAATGCCACGGGCAACATTGCATCCCACCAAGCTTGTTGTGCCCAGTCAATATGACACAACCACACTTGCAGGATGCGGAAAACAGATGACAAACTTTTGCCCTGAGAACTGAGATTGTGTAGCAAAAAGTTAACTCACCTGAAACCATGCACGGCCATGCATGAGTGACAGCGGCACTGGGCCATACTCCCTGGAGTCTCTTGACACATGTGGACAGTCTCCCTCCAGCCAAACATGCCCTTTTGGCACCTACAGACAAGCATTGGTTGGAGAAATCATGGCCTTTTGAAGACCGAAAGATGGGCCAATGCACAAATGCAATTCACGCAACTGGCAGCACTGCCTCAAATCAATTTATGGCACAGAGTTGATCCGTAGACAACTGCTGTCACACAGCCACAGGGCTCTTGCCTGTCACAAACAGAAGAAGCTGACACAATAGCGTGCTGCTGTGCCTATAACCACCTTTTAGTGTGCAAGAGCTCTGCCTGTTGGGCTTTTTTGACACGAAGGAAGTCAGCAGAACTGACAGCAACAACACAGCGTGGCAGTTGGATTGATTCAGGCACCTTCCTATCAGCTGCTCACACAGTTCCGTGACTTGTGCAGGAGGCACAAACACTGAGCATCCTGTTGCTCAGGAACACATGTGCATTGGATGCTAGATGAACTGCACAAGCTGTGCTTGAATGTACAGCTTGTGAACAGTTGATTTCACACAAAATCTAAAACACAAAGCATTTCCACAGAAAGGCGCGCAGCACTTACCAGCACTTTCTTGCCAGCGAGAGCACTGTGATCCCTTGGGACTTCCACAAAATCCCCTTCCATAGCCACCAGCCGCTTACAAACCAATTTGTTCAGCTCGACAGGGCTGTACGCCAACACAACATCGCCTGTCCACAAGCAAGACCACACGGTAGGAGAGCGGGATTTTTGCAAGAGACAAGGCTGTGGAACAATCACCATCCTATTTTCCGCCATCACGCAGTGCCTACCAGCAATCCATGGCCAACAGGGACAAACCGGGCAGCAAGAACTGCTGCACAAAGTTGCCTAGAGAATTTCCCAAACCTTAACTCTGGGTGCCAGCCATATAATAACTGCGATAATAACTGCGATGAAGGCAATGTCTGCCTTCTTATTGTCAATTCTTTGACTGTATAATGGGTGCCTCTGACACTAGTATTAATACTGCACCTGTTGATCTCTGCATCTGTCCCAGGTGGTAACATGGGCAATAACAACCTTTGCAGAGACATGAATCCAGATGGCTGTGGTGTCCTGCAGGTTGTGAACACTCAGCCTTGGAAAATTGTGTCCTGCAGCTCTTCTCTGGGCTAGATTCATTGTATGTTACGTGTGTTCTCACAGCAAAGGAACCGGCGCCCTTTCAGCTTGCAGGTAATGATGGACGAACGCACATCCTAGGCGTATCTTCTCCACGTCAAGAACATCCAATCCATTCTGGCGATCGCTTGGACTCTGGCTTCCAAGGGGATTTCATTCTGGGTAATCTGCATGCGGACTTATACACCCGACATCGCCGTGCTAGGCCTGTGTTTGCCCCTTCTTGACAAAAGCAATCAAGGGAATTACGCAGACAGCGGAGTTCGTCCACCCGCCCTTCGTTGGTGGTCCCACCTCTCTTCAATCCTCGTATCATCCCAGAGCCCAGGGCCCCATCCCTCAGGCTCTCTGGGAGCCACGGTGTGCTGGACAGCCACAGAGGCAGCCAGAAGCTGAAGCGCTCGATCAGGACGATGTCTCCCGCGAGGCGCGGCTGGTTGAAGGTTGGCAGCATGCTCGGCCCAGAGATCTTCCCAAAAACAACGGGTTTCAGATGCACGCCCCGGCGGAAAAGTACAACAGACGCCGTCAAGCGACCGACGTCCAGGAACGGGACTCGTGCAATGGGCCTCGGCTTACCACCATTGATTCCACACCAACGTAGTCGTGAAACCAAATCACGAATCCAGCGGCCTGCAAGCCACCCACTGCACCCCCCAGCAGCGGTTTCAGCGACGTCCGTAAGCCATTGAAAATTCCAGAGGCCATGGCCCTCTTCCGTCGCTCTCGGCGCAACCCTGCAACCTGCTACCTCAGGACTTTGGGACGGGCCACGACTCCCCAGGCTGTTGCAGTACATGATCTGGAACGTACTCTGCCGCCGCTTAGTCAGGGAAGACGTGGCTTTGAGCCTCGTACCACCGCAGGAACGGCGTCCAACTGACGAATCTTCGGCAATGAGCCGGTCACGCACGAAAATGGACACCTCCCCGAACGAGCTGAACTCGACGGCGAGGACGCACCCACAGTGGGCGACAGTCAGTGCGGCATGCAGCCACCGAACGGGGCGCAATCCCCGCGCATGCACAGAGAAACGCCAGGGTGGGCCCAAAACCAGCGTTCGTTACAAGTAAAGTTGTGCGTCCATATATAGTCCAAGCGCGGTTCCGTTTCCCAACAGGGTACCATTACCAAGAAACCTCCAATAGGCGGCACCTTGCACATCTCACACACATGTTCCCGTTGAGTCCCGTGGTACCACAGCCCCTGTGGTAATGTTTCCACGCGCCAAAATATGCACTCCAATCCATCATCTCGACTACCACCGCTTCCCTTAGTACTATATGCCCGGGTAACCGCCTCCCGTACTTAGCAGGTGCAAGCATACCACAACCCATTACCCTAGCACCGTTACCCGCCAAGCACAGTACCAAACATGTACGTCCTCGTACCAAGACGGTTTCCCACGCCGCTCGGGTTCCAGTGCCCTAACACTTAAGCCATTCAGCCCCCACTACAAATGTCCCCGCGGTTTCCCTCATCGCTACCCGTCGCTGCCCACCCGTTGCCCTACCATGCTAAGTCCTGCGCCGCCACGCCACGCCAGGGTAGCAGCCGGCGCTGTCATGGGCAGCCGTGGCTGCCCTGTGGTAACGTCCATTGCCACCATGGTAGCCGTTGCTGCCGCGGGGTAATCGTCAGGTCGTCAGGGTAACCGCCGTCGCCTCGTGGTAACGGCCAAGCCCCGTGCGTTGGATCATCTCTCTTTCGATGTAAATCATTGAAAAGGGGCATAACTGGTCATCAAAAAGGGGAACGGCCGCTCACCTCACTTTATTGTTGGGAGCAACCCTCGTGGCATAATTTCAGGGCCACGGTACATCGTCTAGTCATCTTCAAGGCTACGGCACATCATCTGGTCGTGATCAAGGCTATGGCACATCATCTGGTCGTCTTAAGGCTACAACACGTCTTCCCAAGTGGCAGTGCATCATTAATCACCCAGCACGACCCTCATGGATTCGACATAGCAGTGTCAGTCACGCTTGGGCATCACACGTCTTCCCACACCGAAG